CAGTGGTAATATCCTATATTATTTGTAGAGTCTCTTGGATAACCCTGACCAACAACTTTAAATGTAGTTTTTCCTGCCCAGCACTGGGATATTTGGTAGCTATGTATAGCTCTTTGGTGTCTTTCAACAATCCCCCTTGACTTCTCTCTCCTGACCCCAGGTAACTTCCCAATTCCCCTCATATCACTCTGCCCTACTATTCACATGTCTAGTGTCCTTTTCATAGTACTTTTTTCCTTTAAGATTTCTGCAGTTATTCTAGGTTGTATACTCATATATTAAGATCTAGAGCTGGGAAACAGTTGAAAGAGAACATGCAGTATCTGTCTTTCTGGATCTGAATCACCTCACTTAGTAAAATCTTTTTCGTTCCATAAATTTACCTGAAAATTTCATGGCTTTCTTTTCATTACAGCTGAATGTGGTATGTACCACATTTCCATTATTCATTCATCAGTTCATTTTCATTTTCTATCTGTTGTGAATAGAGTGGGAATGAACATGACTGAGAAAGTATCTAGTAAATGGATATCAAGCCTTTGGGGCATATGCCAAGGAGTGGTATTCATATGGTGGATTTATCATTACCTTTTTGGCCACACTGATTTCTATGACTCTAATCAGAGATTCCTCAAAAGTTGAAGTAAAAATGGCTAGAAAATATCTAACACACACACACACACACACACACACCCCACCACCACCACCACCACCACCACCACCACCACCACCACCACCACCACCATCATCTTTAGCAATTAGGGAAATTTAATCAAAACCACTCTGAGATTTCATCTTACCCCAGTCAGAATGGCTATCTATGATCAACAAAACAGTTGTCAGCAAATGCTAGAGAAGACGGGAGGTGAACTCATGTGCACCATTGTTGTTATTCATCCTTTGCCCCACTGCCCTTTTCCAGGCCTCTAATTCACCTTCCCCTCTAAACAGCCCTCTTCTTTAGTGCCGTGTATGTTATCTTCTCTTTCCCTACAGGTTCCTCTCATTAAGATCTCTTCCCCTCTTTGCATAGCCCCTGTTATAATCCCATCAAACCAACAGAACATATATACATTTACATCTAGCTTTTCCATGAGACAAAGCATAGCATTTGTCTTTCTTGACAATTCCATATCGTGACTTCTGTTTCTTTGCATTGCATTAACTTCCTGTGTGTATAATTAATGCACCACCTTGCTTGGTCCACTCAGCTGTGGATGCTCATCTAAACTATTCCATTTTCTGGTTTGATGAACAGTGCAACACTGAATATAAGTAGGCAAGAATCTCTATGATAGGAGTTAGGATCTCTGAGTGTCATATACCTGGGTCATATACCATCAGTTCTAACTTTAGTTTCTTGAGACATCACCATAATAATTTCTATGGAGACTGCCCCAGTTGGCATTCTGAAACATCAGCAGCATCTGAGTGTTCTTCTGCAGCATATCCTTGCCAGCATTTGTTGTATTTTATTCTAATTTTATTTTCCTGGTGACTAAGAATACTGAACACTTTCAAATATTTATTGGCCATTTGTATTTATCCTTTTGAGGACAGTCTGTTCAGTTCTTCGCTTATTTATTAATTGGAAGATTTTTTTCTGACACTGATTTTCTCCACAATGGGAAAATATTCTTCTTGGACAACCTTAACTGCATCCTAGTCCTTACACTTAACTGTGCCATATTTCCGTTTGAGTCTATGTATTTTTTAATTTTGCCCCTGGATTCTTTATTCTACATATTTGTGTAGTTTCTGTGGTTTCTGTTTTTTGTCTACTATGATAAGATATGGGAAATCATTTATGGGGTGTGTGCATGCGTGCGTGCGTGCGTGCGTGCGTGCATGTGTGTGTGTGCTTAATAAAGCTTTCTTTATGGACTATAACGTAAATAATTTTAGAAAAATTACTAGAGCTACTGAGAAGAATGTATATTTGGTATCTGTTGGATGAGATGTCTGTTAAATCTAGTTTCTATTGATGAAATCACCAGTCATATAATTATTCTGTCAGGACCTGTGTGACATTACCTACCCATCAGGTTTTCATTTGTGAAATTAGGAGCCCCAAAATTCAGTAGATATATATTTGCAATAATTATGTTTCTTGATTTTGTTCCCTTTATTAATCTTAATGACCTTTTTATCTTTTATTATTATTGGTTTGAAGTCTGCTTTACCAGATGTTAGAATAGCTATTCAAGGTTATTGGTTCGTATTTACTTGATTAGTAGCCTAATTTTCATGCTTTGACTCTTTTGTATAGGCTAGTTATATGTCTACTTGACACAAGCTAGAGTTAGAGAGGAGGAAGCCTCACCTGAGAAAATGGAGAAAATGCTTTCATAAGATCTAGCTATAGGCAACTTGAAGGACATTTTCTTAAATAGTGATTTATGATAGAGGGACCAGACCACTGTGGGTTATTTCACCCATAGGCTGTTGGTCCTGGTTTCTAAAAAGAAATCAAACAGCAGACCATGGGAGCAAGCTGAGATGCAGCACCTCCCCATCACCATGGTCTCTGCATCAGCTTCTGCCTCCAGGTTCCTGTCCTGTTTGAGTCCCTGTTTTGATTTACTTTGATGATGAACACCAGTATGAAAATGTAAGCCAAATAAACCCTTTCTTCCCAGCTTGTTTTGGTCATGGCGTTTCATCACAGCTGTCATAGCCCTGACTAAGTTTTGTCAATGGTATTTGGTTCTCAGAGACAACAAATAGTAAGATCTTATTTTAGGTCAGTTATCTCATCTGCACCTTCTAAATGGTGAAAGGGGCCTCTGTGTGTTTAAAGGTACTATGGGAAGGAGTTTTCGAATTCTTGAAGGTTCCTTGATTGCTTTTCTGTTTGACTGGATTGGTGTGTCTTTTTTACTTTCTTTCTTGTTCCTATTAGGAAACTACTGTGTTGAACATCTTAGATCCCTTCTTACCTCCTTTGTTCATCTATTCATCATGAAGTTTACTCTTCTCGTCCTCTCATGATTCAGACTGTCTTTCTTCCTTCTCTGTGTTTAATATTCCTTTTCAGTACTTTCTGCAGTGCTGACTTGGGGTCCTGAATTGCTTTAGCTTGTGTTTGACTGGCAATATAGGCATTTCTCTGTAAATTTTAAAAGATAGCTTTGCTTGATATAACAATATTTGTTTACAATAATCTACTATTAGGACTTAAAACGTATTAAAGGTGGACACACACCTTTAATCCCAGCTCTTGTGAGGCAAAGACGGGTTCCAGGCTTTTTCTTTTGGGCCACCAACTAGCTCCCAAATCAAGACAGGGATACTTAACCTTAGTTGTAAATTCTTGACCTAGCTTAGACTCTTTCTAGCAAGCTCCTTTAACTTAAATTAACCGGTTTCTCTTTTCTCTTTATCTACCTTTTGCATCTGGGACTTTTACCTTCTTATTTCCTTTCTGTATGTCTTACTTTCTCTGCTTCTCATGTCTGGCTGGCTGGTGATTCCTGGCTTCTGGCCTGGACATCTCCCTCCTTTCCACCTCTCTTCCCCTCTCATGCTTTTCTTCTTTTCTCCAGCCTAGATGTCTCTTATTCATTCTGTCTGCCAGCGCCACCTATCCTTTATCCTGCCTAGTTATTGGCTGTTCAGCTCTTTACTAGGCCAATCAGGTGCCTTAGGCAGGCAAAGGAAAACAAATGCAACACATCTTTACATAAAGAAACACACATCCTTACATCATCAAATAAATGCAGCACAAAAAAAATGTAACACACCTTTACACCGTTAAAGTAGTATTCTGCAGTATAAACAAATGTTAACACATTTTTGCCCAGTAAAAATAATATTCCACAACAGATCCCTGAGTTTGAGGCCAGCCTGTCCAGGACATCCAGGGCTACACGGAGAAACTCTGTCTTGAAGAAAAAGAGGGTGAGGGGAGGGAAGAATAATAAGAGGAAGAACAAGTGGATGGGAACCTTAAGAAAAACAATAAAGAAAATGTTACAGATTAACTTTAGAACAAGTAAGGATAGGCATGAAAGCCTGTTTGGCTGAAATAACAGCTAAAACAAAACAACTAAACATTTATAGTACAGAAAAATGTCAGAGCTGGAGAGATGGCTCAGCAGTTAAAAGAACTAGCTGCTCTTACAGAAGATCAGAGTTCAGTCATGCTCAGGTTGTGGATAATCTCAGCCCATGTCCCCTTCATCACTTTTGTGGCTGTCTTCACAGCCAGCACCACTCTGGGCTTCTCTCTGCCCTCAGCACATGATCTTGCTACATCTCTGCAGGCACTTACCACTCTCCTGATAACCATTCTCCTGGCATCCATCTTAAGTCAGCACAAGTCAATAACCACTCCTGACTACGTCTATGCAAGCATTTGGTAGCTGTCTCCTCAGCTTATTTTTTCTCTGAATAACTTTGCTTTCCCACTATTGTTTGTTTATTTCCTGTGTTCTTTAGCTCTTTTATTCATAAGAATCATGACTAGTTGGGATTCTTCTCCATAGATTGCGAAGAGGCAGTTTCTTTTCTTTTTTTCTTTTTTTATTCGTTTTACATACCAACCACAGTTCCCCCTCCTTCCCCTCCTCCTGCTGCCCCCACCTTCCCCAAATCCCCCATCCACACCTTGGAACAGATAAGGCCTCCCATGGGGGGTCAAGAAAACCTGACACATTAAGTTGAAGCAGAACTTATCCCCTGCCTCAAGGCTGAACAAAGCATCCCACCATAGGAAATGGGTTCCAAAATGCCAGCTCATGCAACAGGAATAGATCCTAGGTCCCACTGCCAGGGGAAAAGAGGCAGTTTCTAATCTCTCTCTTACCCAGAAATGCCATGCTCTTTCTACGGACATCAAGGCTAAAAGTTGAATAAATTGTTCAAAGTTGTACTGTAAAATGATTTTGCTCTACTTGGCTTCATTATAGTGTTTACTCGCTTATCAGAAATAGCTTATGTTTGGAGCATGGATGTTCTTCCTTTCAGATTGGATATAGTATTTATTCCCTTTTCTACAGATGAACCCACAGATATGATTCCACGAAGCTGTCAACTTGCAACAGATGTTCCTCATGTCACACAGCTACTAAACATGACAAAAGTCTGCCAAACTGAAATAAAATTTGGAGGTCATCGTTTACAATCAGCAGAATCAGGTATGCCCTGAGGTTCCCATGAGCATATATCTACCCTCCCCCTGATAAGATGTTTTCCTCTAGAGGCCTCCCTAACCCTCATTCTTCCACAGTACTGCCAGTATAGGAGGCCAGGGCCTGCAAGCTTGGGTCACTTGCTTCCCAGGCAGACAATTGAAATGACGGAACGTTTCTACTTCAGCACTGTGATTTACTGGGGGAAAGGAGAGGGCAAGAAGAGATGTGAAACTATGCTTTTCTGTAGGGTAGTTATCCGTCTACAGAAAATGCTACTTTATTCAAGTACTACGATAAAAGACAGGTAAAGCTGTTCCCTGTGAAGGAGCTGTAGGGAGCAACAGGACGGCAGCCAACTAGAACTTCACTGTCAGTTTAGAAAAGGAAACTTCGGTTCAGTTCTGAGCAGTATTGCCCTGCCTGAATACGTATTGTTCATTTTTAAATAGTCTCAAAAGAGTTTTTTGAAGCCTGTGAACTAAACAAAATATTCTTAGGGTTCCAGTATTCTACCTCTGTACAGACCTCATTCCAGCTGACCAAATCAGTGACAATGAGACACCTTAATACTAAACCCAATGTAAGCTCAGCTCCTTGGATGTTTGAACTGCTGAAGCATTTTAAAGTTTAAACATTTAACAGTACAAAGCATGTTTTTCCTGCCGTCTGGACTCTGCCCATAGAGACTCTTAGTTAATTTGGCTAGTCTTATTTGTTTTGTTGGGTTGTTTTGTTTTGTTTTGTTTTAACCTCCTCTAGTGATTGTTATGAGCAGCTATATCACTCAGCCTGGGGAGGTCCTGTGTTCAAGCCACACTCAAATACAGGAAGGTAATTCAAAGGGAGTTAAAGGGTAGTCATCATGACAAATCATCTGTACAAGCAGATACTGAAAGCATTCTATGCATAGCTATGTATTTACAGTATGTTCTTATAAAAAATTGATAAGAGATTTATGGAGGTATGTTAGGGCTGAGTAAAATCAAGGAGACAGCAAATTCTTGGACCATTATTCATAGGACTAATGTAAGGAATGGCTTGTGTGATGAAATGCCATGTTAGAAGTACACTGTGGGAGTGTTTCTTGTCCCTCAATAAAGAGATGGTAATGTTTTAGGTAGCTGCGCTCAACTGCAGGGTTCCAGACTGACAGGACCTGAGCCAGAAGAAACCAGTGGCACGGAGAGAAGCCGGCTGGGAAGTGGCAGGGTTTGTGGCTTCTCAGATAACATGTATGGCCCAGAAAGTGGTCAGAGCTTAAAAGGAGGTCAGACAGCAAAAGGGAAAAGTAGATATTTGTGATGAAGGTTGAAAGCATGAGCTCTTTATCGCCTGCATTTTCTTAATCAGCATTATATGCCAGAAGTGGACCTAAAGAGGTGGCCCTCTTTTGTGCTTTTTTCAGTACTAAAAAAGAGTATATATAAGTAGGCAATATACTGTTAACCCTTGACTGCATCATTCCCAAACTCATAGAAAAGCAGAGTATATGATGCAAGCATCTCCTGCTTCATAATTACGCACTTTGAGTTGGACTTTCTGCCAGCAATGAGAGCAATGTGTGTATTGGCTATATATCTAGACACAAAGATGAATGGAAAGATTTTGTGCAATCCATGTTTGTTAAGGAGCCATGGAAAAAACAAAGAAGTATAAAAGTAAGCTCACTACCTTTTGGATGACAGTTTAATCATAAGATTTGCCGCAGAATGCAGGAAAAGTATCTTCACTATCAAACACCATATCTGTGCCTATGATAATTTTCAATAACAGGGATGACTAAGCTGTGTCACATATGGTGATGACATGATTACAAGTGATCTTTTTTTACCATCTGTCCTTACAGCTGGATCTTCTTATAAACTGCCTTTAAAATAAACAAAAACCTATGTACAATATCATTGTCATCTTATGTAAAGCTCTCAGAGGTTCTTAAACTGAATATGATTTAGTAAATACTAATTGCATCAATGTTACAACTAAACAGAAACATTTCTATAGGCTATATTCAAGCCCAACTTACAGAGGGGGGTATTGATATTTCTTTTGTAAATAGTCTAAGTAGACTTTTAATACATAATAATTGTCAATTCAACTTACATCATGTATACAGAAAATTGTGAATTGATTAAATCAGTGAGCATATTTATTTTTCTTGGTGAATACCAAGTATGTCCATTGTAACCCGTTATTTTTCTGCCTCTTAGGTCAGTCTCATTGCACATGCATGATAGCCAAGATGACATGAACACACATGGTACTGTGTGGTTTTCTTTGTGCAAATACATCTCATTAGCCAAGTTTCATATATGTGAACTTTAAAACTTAGTAAAAGTGAATGTATTAATAATTTTTGCTCCCTGTGCAAGTGTCTGATTGGAATGTTATTTCTGAGGATTATGCCCATGGGCAGGTTTTTAAATGTGGATAGCCAACAGATGTGTCTTTATTTGAACTATTTGTTTTCGTCTTTTTCTAGTGAGTGAACTCCCAAAATGAGATTTGAATTGCATGCAAAAATGACTATGTGTTCATATAATTGCCTGTGTAGTGCTCATGTAAATGTTGATATTTTATCATAAATGCACATATTGAGAGATCCTAGTGAGACCTCAAGAGAAATAGCCATTTCCTGTGGACTTTCACACCACCCAAAAAAGAAACCTTGGAGTTTTTAACTGTTTTAGACTGTTCTGTCGAATGCTGTAGAGCTTAATCAAGAGCGTGGGGAATGGCATTAATAAAATCACTGTTCAGAAGGCTCTGCATTACCTCCGATGTCTTTGTCAGCTCCCAGTGCACATTAGCTAATGACTTCAGGACTGTAGGACCCGATAATCTTACTTTCATTAATGGAACCCTAGTTTAATTGAACCAGAGAACATGGTCTGGCTGTTGAAGTGAAGCATTCAGCATTAATGACAAGATACAGTAGCCCACTGAGCACAGATCAAATGTAGTAATTTACTTAAAAATTGGAAGGTGGTTTTCCCTATTGTCTACCTTTTCACACCAGCAGTCATCTTTCTAGGTTTTCACTTTCTTTATAAATAAGAGGAACCTGACATCCTACCTCCTACCACAGCTGTATACTTGTGAATTAATCCATCTAGAAGACAAAAGAAAGAGGGAAGGAGGAGTAGAGGGAGGGACAGAGGGAAGGAAGGAAGAGGGTGAATGAGCAAGCTGTCTTTGGCACTGGAGAAATCTGTATTGGACGTCTTATTTAGAATCCATATTATGAAAGCAAGATTCAAACCAAAGACTACATTCTACTGTGAAGCAGAAAAATCTAAAAGAAAAGTGAATTAGTGCATACTGTCATAAAAGCCAAGGTACCTCCCATAATTCATGGGTCAGTTGAATTAATACTGTGAAAATGGCTACTTTGCCAAAACCAATATGAAGATTCAATGCAAACCGTATGAAAGGTCCAGAGACACTCTTCACGTGAATAGAAACAAGAAACGAATCCTAAATTTTATTATCAAAGCACAATAGACCCCAGATAGCTAAAACAGTCTTGAGCAAAAGGACCAATGGTGGAGATATCAATATACCTGATTTCAGGTTAATACCACAGGGCATTAGTAACAAAAACAGTGTGGTACTGGCACAAAAGTAGATATATAGAACAACAGAATAGAGTGAAAGGCCAGAGAAAAACCACATAGTTTTTTAGACTTTTTTAGAAAGCCACTAGCCTTTTTTAGAAAGATATCAAAACCATACAGTGGAGAAAAGACAGTCTTTTCAATAAATAGTTGAATAGGGGAAAGCTGGATATTCAGACATAGAAGAATGACTCCAGATCACCTACATCAATCAGGTCAAAACGATGGAAGATATTAATATATGATGGGAAGCTCTGAAACTGTTGATAGGAATATACTTCAAGACACAGGCCTATGCAAGGACTTTCTGAAGAAGAAAAAAACCACAACAAAAAAAGACTCCAGTAGCTCAAGGAATAAGACCAAGAATGTGATTATAAGAAATTAAAACAAAGAAATAATTGATTGACTCAAGAAATAACTCAAGAAATAGCCTACACAGTGGGAGAAAAACCTTTGCTCTGTTACAGGGAGCCCACCAGAGAAGACCACTCAGGCACAGTCTACTCTGTACTGAAAGTCTTTATTCCACTCAGCTGGGACTACACTCACGAATTCCAGAACCAAGTGTAGCCCCAAGCATTTAGCACAAGGGGCTTTTAAAGACAAAATCACATCCTGTAATCGTACTTGGAAGCTGCAAGGGAAGGTTTTGCACCAGCAGGAAGTTTAAGAAGCCAAGATAAATTAGTTAGGGCATCTTGACCTTGGGTTCTCAGAAAAGAGCTAGGTGATTTTCCTTGGGCTTCTCCGTAAAGGAGGTCAAATTTCTCGTTAAACTGAAAATGGCCTCAGCAAGAATACAAGAAGGAGGAATCTCCACACTATCTTGTCCTGTTACAAAGATTAACATCTAAACTGTACAAAGAACTTTAAAAATAAACACAAAACTAGAGAGACAGTTTTTTAATTTTGTTGGTTAAAGATATCACACAATGTGTAGTTCCATTGTCTGGTGATTCAAAATAAACTCATCTTTTACATTTGAATTTGAATATTCTCTTTCCCTATACTCAGTAAAAGTAAAACAGCAAAACCAATCACACTCCTTCATTTAGATTTTTTTTTGTCTGAAGGGAATTTAAAGTGGATAATGGAGCTAGAAATGACCAGATAGTTCAGAATGGTCATTGGGCAAACATCAGAACCAAAGTTCAGTTGCTAACACCCATGAACAAAACCAGGCAACCTTATGGAAACAGAAGGAACATAATCATGGGTTCTCGTCTTCCAGCCCAGACTCAGGGAGTAACCCTGCCTCACAGGAATAGCAAGGAATGATGGAAGAAGGCAGGTGGTGCCCCCTTCTGGTCTCCAGTATGTACATAGGCATATACCTGCAAATACTTTTACATAGATACAAATTAATACTTCTCAGGATGAAATTAA